ACGGTGGAGGTGGCGGCGGGGCTAAGCATTGTCGAGTATTGCTGAGGACGTCGTCATAGTGGACGCCGTGAGAGTTTGAGCAAGGGTCATTGAAAAGGCAGCTGTTGCGGTTGTCAGGTTTGTGTTTTGAGTCCGAAGATGTTTAATAAGGCAGATTGGCACGCGAATATCCGTTTGCAGCACGGGCATGTTGGGAGGGGTTGGCGTTGCTGGTCAGGGGTGCCTGAGACTTACGAGCTCCGCCTTTGGCTTCGTAGCGGCGATCCAGCTGACTTCATAAACGGCTGCTCCACTCTTCACTGTCCTTCTCCAGGCCGGTCGGTCCAGTGTGAGGTCTTTCCAAATCTTCGGGTTTATCTGTAGCCGCTCTAGGGAATTCTTTTAGGTGTCCTTGTAACGGCGCATACGACCTCCTTGTCGGCGAGCACCCTTGGTGACACCTCTGTATGAACAATAGTTTTGGCAGGCGAACGTCGTCAACCCTCATAAAGCGTGCGCTTCATAATAATTGCAGTTGCCTCAGCATGACATGGATGCTGAGGATTCCAGTTTTTTCTAGAACTTCCGTGTCCGGGATCCCGCCCTGCCACCTCAGCTTGAGTATCTGGTGGAGACAACTGAGGTGGAAGTGATTAAATTTCCGCGGTCGTTTTTCGCAGACTGTCTAAATCTCTGCGCCATATAGTAAAGTTGTCAATACGGCCGTTTAGTATATCTTCATTCTGGTGTTCAGGTGGAGACCGTGGCGATTCCATACGGAGTTCTGCAGGCGGCCGAAAGCTTGGATGGCTTTAGAGATCCGGTGGGCCAGTTAGGCGTCGAGTTCGACGCAGCTTGAGAGTGTACTGCCTAGGTGGGCGAGGTTGTCCACGGTCTTCAGCTGGTGCCGTTCAAATAGATGTGAGGAACATTGTATGCAGTTTTGGGTGGAGACTGGTGTATGACCACCGTTTTGTCATGCTGATGGGCAGCTCGAAGCTGGCGCAACCGGACATGAAGGGATCCATGCTCCGTTGCATGTCGGCGTCTGTCACGATTTTGGGCGCGAAGTTGTCAGCGAAGAGCAGGTCTTAGATAGTAGTCGCAGAGGGGTGCATTGGGGCCTGCACGCACCGGCTGTTAGAAGATGATCGCCAGTCCCTTGGGCAATGCGAATCCCGGGGCGTTCATCACGGTGGGCGTCCACCAAAATAACAGAGCACATGAGGCTGAAGAGGTTTGGGACGAGTACGCAGTCCTGATTCACCCCGTTGGTTACCTCAAACGCCTCAAAGACTGTTGCGTTGTCTATGACGCGCGCCATCATCCCTTCGTGGAGCTGAGGTACCATGTGCGTGAATCGCTTTGGCTTGCCGAATGTCTGCATAATTTCCCGTAGTACATCGCGATTCACCGTGCCGAAGGCTTTCGTTAAGTCAAAGGAAATCATGTTGGGGTCAATCCGAACTTCCTGGCTATTCTCTTGCAGCTGGCGGACGAAGAAGATCATTTCGGTGTTTCCACGGTGACGTCGGAAGCCACATCGGCCTTCCGGTAGAAATCCCTGTCCAAAATGGCTGCTGAGACGGTTGAGGAGGATGCAGGTGAAGATCTATTTGGCGATGTTTAACATCGAGATTCCCTTGTGGTTCTCAGAGAGCTGTCGGCCCCCTTTCCATTTGTAGAGATGAATAACTGTCTCATTCTTGAAGTCCTGATGGATCTGTCCTTGACGCCGCATCCCTCGGAATTGCATTATGAGTTTAACCATCAAGCGAAGGTCATCGTGCTTGTAGATTTCGACCGGAGTCTCGTTGGATTCCGTTGCTTTCCGCATGGAAAGCTGATTCACGGCTCGGATTGTTTCTGGGAGAGAGGGCAGCAGATACTGGACGTTGTCGGTTTTTACCTGATAAGATCGGTCGATGGTAGCGTCGAAGATCATGGATGAGCGGTTGAGAACTCTACTTAAATGTTCGGTCCAGCACTCCGGAATCTTTGATTTCTCAGTCAGGAGCGTTGGGCCATCAGATATGAAAATCTGCGCGTCTCCTTTAACTGGGGAGCCGTAACCCGCCTTGATTGAGGTGAAGAAGTTCTTTGGTTCATTGCAGTCAACATACCCCTGGATTTCCCCGGCCCTAAGAGTCATTCAGGCGTTCTGCGTCTTCCTCAATCGCTGTTGCACGGCGTGGGGATAGCGAAAGAAGGTCTACTTGTTTGCATCGATTCGATTATCCATGTAGGCCTTATGCAGCCCATCATTTTCGGCGGGCAATTGACTGGTGTCTGCATCGCTGTCGTCGAACCAGTCCTGATTTTGGCAACGTGAGCGTCCGAAGACGCCCAGGGCAGTGGGTTGGATAGTATTCCGCAGTTGACACCACCGAGTTTCCACGGTGACAGTTTCGTCCGGGGCTAGTAGTTCTTCCAGGTGACGGACCAGTTAATAATTGAAATCAAAGCGGTGAGCAGGCGCATTCAATATAACAGCATTCAACTTAGCTGGTGATCGCTTACCTTGTGGCCTTTAGCGAGTTTTTATTCGGAGCCTTATCTTGGACATGACTAGACAGCGATCCGTCCAACTGTTGGTGTCGCAGATAGCCTTGAGCACCAGCACGTCCTGTTGATCTCGCCGCATCGGAAGACGCCGCTATAAACTACTTCGTCTGAAGGTTACCGTCCCTGCGCCAAAAATGCTGTGGGGCACATAGTGGGCATCATCGTCCGCAGTGATTGAACTTTCACGATAATATTCCGGGCTGGACACGAGAAATTGAGCCTCTAGTAGGTTAGGACTAGGAGAGTTAGAGTTATAAGGGTTAGGATTACTGCAAGGTTAGGGTTGGAGTTAATACACGATAATGGGAGCCTCTCTGAAATTTGGCACAGGGCTTCCTGAAGTACGAGGTCCATGTTTCTGAGCCCGACCAGGTTCAGATTTACATTCTGTTTAATTTGTACATTGTCAAACTGAGCGGGTGCGGATGAGTGCGAGATGGGAAACGGGTGACCGCATCTTCAAGCCCCTCCTGTCGCAATTTCCGAACTTCGGAGGGGGGAAGATCCTGCGTTCAGACCTTCATAAATTCTCTAGGTTCACATCTGATGTCCTCCTGCGCACCACATTAGCGAACACTGTGGACGAGGCCAACTGTTCTGACGTCCGATGAAAGACCGGTCTGAGTTACCTATCGCTCCTCTCTTGAAATGTAGCATGGAGAAGCAAACTATCTCTGCATCGGACTCGTTTAGTGTCCCTAAGCACTCTTTTGAGTGGGGTCAGAGGAGATTAACGAGGTGCGTCAATCTGCTGAAGATCATATTTCATGCTGACTATTCCTGAGTGGACGTCGCTTGTGGCCTACGCAAACCTGCCCAGTTGGTTAGTTTTGGAGATTCTTTGGCCTTTATTATAGCTGTTAGTATATATTGGAAGCATACTGAACATAAAGCCACCTTGAGTAAATCGGTGTATAGAAGTTAAAGGAAAGGTATATTAACTTATTTTTCCTAGTAGTATTCTTATTCATCAGAGCTATCTCGCGGCATTTTTGAATTTACAGGGAATGATCAAAAAGACGATGTAGTAGCTCTCTACAGTGCTTGACCGATCTCATGAAATGTCTGCCAAAATTCTGGAATGCGTTTCCGATTAGGAAGGATTACTGATGTGGGTTTGTTATACTGATTGTCATGCTGCATAACCCTATAACCTTTCGGACTCGTCTGGATGTCGGCTTTTGGATGCACTTTTTCGACCTCCTGCATAGACCACACTCGGTAAAAAAATGACTAATTATATAGCATGTATTTTTCAAACGTATTTTCAATGGTCTTATAAATTCAAACATATTTCTCAGAAAAGATGCACAAAAAATATGATTTGCCTTGCTCATTTGGTAGGAAATCACATTATCTTCATATTTTATGCTCGAAGAAGGTGTGTATTTAGGTTTTAAGAAAGTTTCTAATTATGAGATTTTTAAGACCGCGCGATGTCCACGCATACAAGACCTCACTAGTCCGTTTACTGATGCTTCTCGTGAAATGTACAACACAGTCCGGATCCATTGCAAACTTTCCTGAACCCTATGTGGTGTCTTCTTAAAGGTAGATGAATATATGATTCTCCTTACGCGGAAAGTACGCACCTTGTAGATTGAAGTTGCTAAACGCTGATGCAATGGCAAATCAGGCTGAAAATTATTCGAGAATTCGGAAGATAATGTGATTTCCTACCAAATGAGCAAGGCAAATCATATTTTTGTGCATCTTTTCTTAGAAATATGTTTGAATTTATAAGACCATTGAAAATACGTGTGAAAAATACATGCTATATAAGTAGTCATTTTTTGCCCGAGGGTGGTTTCTGCAGGAGCTCAGAAACGAGTGCATTCAAATGCCGACATCCTGGCGAGTCCGAAACATTTTAGGGTTATGCTGCACGATAATCAGTATAACAACCCTACTTAAGTAATCCTTCCCAATCGGAAACGCACTCCAGAATTTTGGCAGACATTTTATGAGATCGGTCACGCACTGTATGTAAATGCACTGGGCAACGATTTACATGTGTCAACAATAATGAAATCACGTATACGTTAAATAGTCCAGGTTCTGTGTTGTTTTATTCCGAATTTTGGCAGATTTCTCCGTCATGGAATCGGGTCTCTGCAGTGAGAAATAACGCTTTCTCTAACCTTCTGATACAGGCTTCATACCACCCGGTAGTGCTTCACTTTAGTCGTGCCGTTTGCTTCTCAGTGACATCACAGACTGGTCTACTTTCGCCTGTTTTACGTTGGCATTCAAGATCCAAGAGGAGCAATCAGTCTAGTCAGTTTTGCTCGCTTCTCTCAGAGTGCCAGCGCATGTGAGTCACTGGACCTCAGGCTGCTGGTCGTGTAGGCAGGTGCAAGCCACAGTTTGTGTGACGCAATAGAAACCCAGAGCGCTTGGTTTCTCTTCTAAACAATAGCTAGGCCCCGTGATACAGGACGCCTCCAAGCCAGATCGATGCGCCACCGAGTGCACTCACCTCCAAACTGTTTCATATCTTTGTCGATGGCTACTAAAGTTAACCTATTTTATCGACGTTTTTCCATTAATAAGTCTCACTACAAGAAAGTGTAAATAGTCAACTACCAATCAGTTTTATCTAAGTTAGATTGCACAGACCATTGTAATCTTCCCTTTAGCCGTAAGTTTAAGAGGTAACTTAATTAACAAATTAGCTATGCTCCCAAGTTTAACGAAACAAAGTAGATCGCCAAATTTTGTTCCTGTATGTGCGCTTATTTGCAAAATCAGGTCAATTTTCGCAATGAAAATATGCCTAAAATGATATAGGGCTCACTAAGCATCAGATCTGCTCATAACTTAAAGTACTCGAAGCTTTAAAGCACGCTAGATATCCGTAAGCATTGGGATTGGACACACTTTCTGGAATGGTAACCACCTGGAATATCCGTGTGCTAAATATACATAAGAGGCCGGAGAGTTCAATGTGTGTCGCCCTCCACCACAGGCATTAAATGACGGCTACAGTTACTGTCCGGACTGACCAACTCGTGATGCATATATTACTTACCGTCGGCTGCCAATCTCATTAAATGTTAACAGAACTGTTAGAATGTGTTTTTAATTAAAATGCATTTCTTAGATACGGGCGTTATAATGATTATCATGCAGCATAATTACACGACATACCAGTTATGTCAGGATACCGACTTTTGAATGCGCTCCTTTCCAACCGACAGCAAAATCCACTCTTGATAAAAGTGGCTACTTAGATAGTGTGGACTTTTCCCACAGACTTTCAATGCTTTTGTGATTTCAAATAAGTTTTATGGGAAATATTTGGTAATAAATTGTGCCTTGTTCAAATTTTATACTTTAAGAAAGAGTAACTTTAGGTCATAAAAGGTTCTTCATTACGAGTTTTTGCGGCCGCAAAATGTCCATTCAAATGACATCATATCTGTCCGTTTGTCCATGTTTCATATGAAACATCCAACATAGTCCATATCCATCGCAAATTATTTTGACCCTATATAACGTCTTTTTAGTGATGCGGAGATGTGTACAATTTTCCTTACACGGGGAATATAAAGCGCGCAGTTTGTAAGCTAGAAGCTAGCACACCTGCAGGTCGGGTTCAACATTATTCGCGAATTGTAAAAGTTTCCAAAGCCTAAATTTATCCTTTCTTACAATATAAAATTTAATGCAGGTATAATTTGCTGTCAAATGAGTACAATAAATGGTTTTTTTTAATGTTTTCTAGAAAAGGTAATTGAATTTGTAAGAAAATCGAAAATCTGTGAGAAAAACTCACATTATTTAAGTAGGCATTTATTGCTGAGTGCGGATGTTGCAGGCAGGCGGGAAGAGGCGCGTTCAGAATCCGGCAGACTGGAGTGACTGAAATATCCTGAAATTACACTGCAGGACAATTTATACTCTACTTCTATCTGTGTAATCATTTTTATTCGAAAACACACTTCTGAATCTCGACTGACTTGTCATGAGATAGGCCATATTCTGTAAGCTCTGATGATTTCTACGTTGTTGTATCACAGAATATGGTGAATGAAGGATGTTCATTTCGCATTCCCCTCACACTAGCGCGTGTGCTTCCCCTTTATCATATGATATTCTTCTCTTGATGTTAGTAATGCCATCTAGTACTTTGTCCCTATGGAAGTGACAGCACCCTACAACTTGCCTCTTTATTTTTCATTGATGCAAACCAGTGCGTAGCCAATCTTACAAATTTGTTTCCGGATGGTGATCGTGGAGCAAAGTTAAGATTGGTCTTACTGCGAATTTATTTTCAACCCTTATTCAAAAAGTCACAAACCTAGGGATAGAAGTTCTCCGAAATTCCCTTTTCACCTTTTACTTCCTCGTGCTAATGCTAGAGGAATTAATTTGATGTGATGTACCCTCAAATCGTGCCATGCGGTAGATGCGCTGGACCAACACAGTGACCAAATTTGATTCTTGCGGGCGTTATCGAGAATGCGCACACATAAAAAGTGTCATAATTCAGGATGTGGTGGCAGGCCCATTTGCAGGCCCACGTCGCGCCAGTTGGGATCCCTGTCGCTTCCATTTTCGTTGTTGGTTAAAGCCTGGTCAAGTGTTCTTTGTGGACCAGGGGGTATGGTGCTACGCCCAGGTGCGGGTCCTGTCGTGCCAGCCACCTGCCCCTTCTTCCGCCCCCAGTCTTCTTGACTACGCCTTGACACCGGGTCCGGGTAGGGATAGAGTACAGTAGATGCCAATAGAAGCGAAGAGACGAGTCCCAGGAAGCAGTCTTTAAGAAGGATACACGATCGCTGGGACAAAAGCTTTATTAGCCTGACGTTTCGGATTCCTGCTCGAACCCATCATCAGGGACCCGTATCTGCTTTTGTCTCTGATGATGGGTTCGAGGAGGAATCTGAAACGTCGGGCTAATAGAGCTTTTGTCCCAGCGATCGTGTTTCCTTCTTCAAGTGCGGTGGATGCTGCTCAACTCACCGTCCTTCCTTCCACCCTGTTGTGGGACAAACGGCTGACGCCGTCGGTCACGACGGTCGAGCTGCCAATTTGATGTGGTAGACTAATTTATTGGGGTTCTTCCACTCTCTTTCATCTATTTCCGATGAAATTTCGAACTGTCAGTGATAGTTCACTGTCCAAAAGTGATTTGCTATCGGAATAACTGAACTTCAGCTACGGGCACTTTAATTAGGTGGGCTACCTGGTCCATTTTTCTCAGTGTAATTAAAAGCCCGAATTCACTACGGGGGTATTTGCGGGGGTGACGAGTGATACATCGGTTGTCATGCACATGTCCGTCTCCGAATAGACAAGTGCAGTACGTAAGCAGGTTTGGGAGGCTTACTGACTGTTTGACAGGGATCCTGGAAGCTGTGAATTATTTGTCCGACGATGGATTCGCAGATGCTAGATCAGGCCAAATTGAGATCATAACATTCACCCACGCTATTACAACAAGTCGTAGATAAACGGGCTAGAAAGCTGCGGGCACAAAAAGGTGCTGAGCTGGCTGCTAAGCTTCTAAGTATAAACCACTCATCTCCGGAGAAGACGAAATCCTTGTCCACAATATGTCCTCCAAACAGCTGACTCCTACACAATTGAAAGTGCTGAGTCATGAAGCTTACTTCAACACCGCAGACGCCGATCCGGTCAATCTCGTGGCCACAGTTGGGTCAATCCTCAAACAAACCGGGGAACCGGACGAGACAACGCATCTCATTCGGCAACGGGTTACCTCCTCGGTGATGGCGCACAAACCACGTTCAATTATTACCAAAGCGGAGCAGAGTGCTCTCAAGGCACTCAGGAATGGCACCAGCATTGTAATACTACCGGCAGACAAAGGGCGTTCCACGGTAGTGCTGGATAAGACAAACTACGTTCAGAAGGCCAACGCTCTGCTGGAGGACCGACAGGCGTACCTCCCATGTGGTGAGGAATCGATAAAGACGTTAGTGACGCAACTGGAGAAGACGCTCGCCAACATGCAATCAAACAAAGCAATGAACAAATAGGTACGGCTGACCATTAAGCCGACAGATGTGGCCCTAGCACGTTCCTATGGCCTACCGAAGGTATACAAACCCGGTCTCCCTCTCCGGCCAATCGTTTCAGTGCGCGGTGCACCTACATATAATTTTGCAAAATGGCTATTCCGCAAACTGAGGTCTCTCATCTCGAACTCAGCCACACCGTCTGTTCAGTGTCTCAGTTCCTAGAACGGCTCAAAGGCATCCGACTCAGCGAAGACGAGGTCATGGTGTCCTTCGATGTCACCTCTCTCTTCACTTCGATCCCGCAATGCCTATCAGTCAAAACGGTTAGAGAACTGCTCGAATGCAAGTACGACGAGACAGACGAAAGTGTAAAACGGACTCATCTCATTCAACTGCTGAAAGTCTGCCTGAAGACTTTCTTTACCTTCGAAGGGAGGGTGTACGAACAGATCAAGGGACGCCGATGGGATCACCGCTTTCAGTCTTCATCGCAGAAGCAGTTCTCCAAAAGGTAGTGGCCGAAGTTTTCAAGACCTACAGGCCAAAATTTTGGACTCGATATGTCGATGATACCTTTGTCATCATCAAGTGTGAAATGGTTCAAACATTTCACAATGTCCTGAATTCGGTTTTGCCTGATATTCATTTCACAATGGAGACCGAAAGCAACAACGAACTACCATTCCTAGACGCCATGGTTCACCGGAAACCAAATGGACGCCTGAAAACAACGGTGTATAGGAAGGCCGCTAATACGCGCCAAATCCTGGGCTACCACAGCAAGCACCCGTTGTCCCACAAACGCAGCTGTGTACGCACACTATACAAAAGGGCAGATACACACTGCAGCGAGCCAGATGACAAAAGGTCGGAACTACGCTACCTTCAGCGCCTCTTCATGGCAAATGGGTATCCTCGAAATTTTATAGAACGCAACAGGCAACCTGTGCCAAGCCGAAGCCCAGTGACAGAACGGCTAAAAGTCTGGGGAGCGCTTCCCTACATTGACGGCGTTTCTGAGGCGGTCTCCCGTCTCCAAAGGCCACTGGGAATTGGCACTGCCCATCGGCCAGAGTCAACAATTCGGCATCTGATCATGAGACCCAAGACCTCCCTGCCACGCGGTGAAATAACAAACGTGATTTATCGGATCCAATGCAGCTCCTGGGAAATGAACTACATTGGAGAGACCGGTAAACTACTCCAGACCCGTGTAGGAGAATGCATCAGGGCCGTAAGGATGGACCCGTTTTCCCTGGTGGCAGAACATTGCGCAAACTCTGGACACGCATTCGCCTTCCAGAGTGCCGAAATCCTGGACCGAGGAAACGATCGCGTGACAAGGGAAACAGTTGAGGCCTGACACACCGGCACGAACTCCATCAACAGCTGGGTAGCGCTTTCCGAAGCCTACCAGGCCCTCCGGACACAACTCAGAGAACAGAGGGGCAAACGCGGGTTAGGAGTATAAAGGAACTCAATTACGGCCGGGTCCATGGAGGACACAAACGCAGCTGCACTTCAACTTGAATCTGGCGACGGTGTGATCGTCCCCACTGTCACGACATCCACTTATCCGGCAGGTGAGTAAACGGACGGTCGCAGTAACATAAACGGACCCGACGAAGGTGCCACAGTCACAGCCATTTATCCGGCAGGTAAAAACACAGGCCGTCACGGGGTCGTAAGGAAGATTGCCAGCCTAGGACGAGAACCAAAGTCCATGCGAACACGTGCGATGACGGCTAGCGCCCGAACGTCGGCCGCCGACGCGATGTAAACCCGTTGCAAGGAGACCATCACCACCTATAAATACTGTGAGGCGTGGTACAACACTGACCTCCGACGACGAAAGCTTGTTTGCTTTTGAAACTTCAGGGTAATACAACTATGGTTCCCGAGATCGTCTCTTCTTCTTTTCATTTGTGTCCGGGAAAGCGCATCTTCGCTTCTATCATATATATATGGGCCTCACTAGTTTCCTCTGTCCAAGTGATTTATTTTTTCGCAGAATATCGTTCACATAACACTACTCCCATATGAAACGATTCATCCCGGATAATCTACAGGATGTTGGGCTATTCGTGTGAGTGCCGGCTATGATTTCTCCCAGGTCGGCGCATTTTGGCCACGCGGACCAGACATGTAAGTAAATGAGCAGGTTCGAATTCATTTTCAACAAATAAACACGAGACATTTTATCCGACCTCCTGAATGGATGTTCGTTCGTGGGCAGTCAGCTATGAGTGAGACTCATTGTCAATTTTCCATCGCAGAATCAATTTCGCTCTGTTTTCGATCGTCTGTAGATTGCTGAAGTTGTAACCTACTGCCCGAAGCTTTGTTAAACTGTGCGAGAACGACTTTCATGCAAGCCATGTATTAGAACCAATCAAGCAATGGGTATATTTATGCAAGATATCTTGCATGGCCTAAAACAGATCAAATAAGGTTTTCCACGATGTGCCAAACTGTGACGCACCATTTCGAATTTCTGGGTACGAACGTCAAATCAGATCAGATTTATTAAGTGAAAGGTAGGCGAGCGCCTTTGAACTCCCTTTTGGTTACAATACCGTCATAAAGAAACAATGTGTAAGGCAAGCTTCAAAGAAAATTAGGTAAGTAATTACATACAATAAGCATTGGTCACTGGTATAAATTTGTCTGTGAATGTCTTCCATGTCAAAATTTTACAATAACCAATATGGTACTGAATGGACCAAGAAATGTCGAAACGAGCGCATATTCTTCAGTCAGAAGATAGCGAAAAAGGCAAAACGTAATGTTACTAAAATATAGGGAGTAGTATGCTTTGTAACGTAACATTTTGGAGGCGGCGGTACAGGGGAAAATTTGTCAGTTTCCGATGCTGTGGAGGTACATATCCCTGTACTGGTCGAGCTTTCTCTTAAATGAGTCCACGGATGAGGACATGACGACGTCCACAGGCAGGGCATTCCACGCCTTTACCACTCTGTGGCTGAAGAAGGACCTACTTGCGTCCAGTCTCGCCCCTGTCACACGTAGTTTCAGAGGATGTGTTCTCAAGCTAGTAGTGGTGGCCAGCTCAAAGAAGTCGCCAGATGCAGGGCAGCGATCCTGATCGCACAGTATTCGAAACGTTCGAAATAAGTCGTCATGTAGTTGTCTGTAGTCCAGGGGAAAGAGGTCAAGATTGGAGAGTCGAGTTTCATAAGGTAGGTTTTTTGACCTCTGACAAGCTTGGTTGCCCGTCGTTGGAATTCCTCGAGGGTGGTACGGTCTTTAACAGACCAGGGTCTCCAGGCCTGAATGGCAAATTTTAACTGTGGGCGCACAAACATCCCGAAGGCCTTGCGAAAGCACTCTTCGTCGAACTTCGCAAATGCCCGCTTGATGAGATATAAGCTGGACATTGCGGATTTCGCTGCTTCCAAGCAGTGGAATGATGGCTTTAGAGAAGATGTTATCCACACACCTAGATCGTTCTGAACCTCTATCAGTGGCAGCGGGGTGTGATTTAGACAGTACGTCTGCCGGTGCGCAGAGCTGGTTCTGCCAATCCTCAGAATTTTGCATTTGGTAACATTACATGGGAGGAGCCAGTGCCCTGACCATTGTTCGAATCGGTCTAAGTTTGCCTGTAGATTTGCTTCATCGTCCTCGTTGCGGATGACGGTCCAAAGCTTTATATCGTCAGCAAACATAGCAATGTCGCAGCCCAAACCATGGATGCAGTCATCAATATAGATGAGGAAGAGGATAGGACCATGATCGGAGCTCTGAGGTACTCCGCTCGTAACCATCACCTCTACCGATTGCTGCCCACCAAGACGGACAATCTGAGATCGACCGATCAAGAAATCTTCAATCCACTTCAAAAGCTTGCCCCTTACCCCTATGCGGCTGAGCTTGTATAGGAGACGTTGGTGTGGCACGCTGTGCATCGCATATAAGATGATGTTGCTCTCAAAACCGCATCAGTTCGCGTTTGATAATGCGCTCCGTAACTTTGCAGCATATGGAGGTGAGGCTTACTGATCGGTGGTTGTTTGCGGAAGCGCGACTGCCACTTTTATGTATCGATGAAATCCACGCAGCCTTCCACTCAGGAGGCAGTCTGCCTGCATCTAGAGAGGCTTGGAAGACGAGACACAGAGGTATTGCCAATTCTGTGGCTAATTCCTTCAACAACTTTGCTGGAATTTCGTCAGGACCGGGCGATGTCGACTCTTTTAGCTTCAGTAATTCCTGTTGAACAATAGGTTTTGTGAGAACCACTGAGTCAATTGTTGGAACATCGTCCACCTTATAGTGATCAGCGGATACAACGACTTCTCTCGTAAAAACCGACTGAAAGAACCTGGACAGATGCTCGGCTTTTTCGTCGTCCTTGTAAAGTACAACGCCATCATCCCTTTTTAACATAGGTATGGGATTCCTGTTGCAAGTACTTTGTCTTATGTAGTTGAAGAAAAGCTTTGGGTTTTCTCCTGCACAGTTTAAAAGGTTACCCTCGAAGTCTTGGCGGGCTTTGTAAACAAGGCACTTTATCCTATTCCGCTGAGCCTTGTACCTATTCCTTGATTCAATTGTCTTATCCCTAAGATAACCTTTCCATAGCTTTTGCTTACGGTTTACTTCATATTTTAGTGAATCCTTTAGCCATCGGGGCCTGCTGGTGATTTTCTTTTTCGACATAGGGCAGTATCTGGTGATAAGTTCATTCAGTACGGCCTTAAATTCTAACCAGTCCGTGAGAACACATCCCGTGAATGCTGCTTTCCAGTCTCTACGACGCATGTCGAGACGCATTTGGTTGAAGTCGCCACGCCATGTGTTGCGTCTGATTACGATGCTTTGATCAGGTACAAAGAAGAGAGAATACTTACACTGTAGGACTACATGGTCGCTTTTTCCGAGAGGGGGTAGACAGTTTACGTCATCAACGCTTTCCGGTACCTTTGTCAATACAAGGTCTAAGCAGTTGGCTAGTTGCCCTTCATGTAGTCTGGTTGGGGATAAGACGTGTTGTG